GACCAACTGTCCATAGTGCTCTGAACTTAAATTTTGAATGATTGTCATATACGATTTAAATAATGAGGTAACTTAATACTAATAAAAGTTTCAAGGAGATTGATATTAAAGTCTCTACATATTACAACAGATTTGTTCTGTTTACAAAACTGCACATCATATAAGGCAACCAAAATTCGCCCTCATACTACTAAGTTTTATGTTAATGCACCAAAATCTTCTTCACACACATTTTCAGTAGTCTCATTGAAGCCACAACACTCAACACAAATTATACAGTCAACAAATCATATATAATATCTTATAAAAAGGGCATAAATCTTAAGCCAATTTACGTAAAATTAAGCCCTAACCAAGAAGTATGAGGTTTTAACTCCTGGTATGGTGATCTGTTAAAGACCTTAGATTATTTATATTGATCAGAATCTTTCTTGGGCCCTGCATATTAAGGATTCCAGTACAAAGATGTTTGCTGTAGCATCTTCTTTACAATGTTTGAGTAACTCCCTACGCACTCTTACTTGAATTTTATTGGCATAGTCCATGTTACCCTTGACTATGCTAATGCATGTTAATCTAATCTTACTGAGGATCAATTAAACAAGATTGAACGTCTTCAAAATTTCGCTATTAGGTTCATATTTGGCCTTCGCAAATATGATCATGTTTCTAAGTTTCGTACTGAGATCAAGTGGCTCCCCAATAGACTTCGTTAGAATATTCACATTGTATCTCTACTTTACGGTGTACTATTTCATCCTAAAACGCTGATGTTATATTTTTTAAAATAAATTTTTGGGGGCAGATCAAGATCATTTCAGATTAGCTGATAATTTTATTTTACGAACTTACAATTCAAAAATTTTTCATTCTTCCTTTTGTGTCAAAACAATCAAATTATGAAACTCGCTTCCTTTAACAATTAAGAAAGCCCAAAGCATTGAGTCTTTCAAAAAATTATCAAAAATTATTATTTAAATATGTGTTCTACTTAATACGTTTTATTATTTTTCATCTTGTTACCAAAACGTTACCTGAAGGAATTTTGGTACCGTCACTGGACGTCAAGTGGATAGCTCAGCAAAAAATAAATTCTATTCTTCCATCAATTGCATCTAAAATTTTGTATACGATATTAAATTTAAATAAACACTAGAAATATGTTATATGAGATTAGGTCATTTCTTCTCTTTCTTTCCTGTTTAAGATCCATGTCGTTGATAGTTCTTTGCATGCTTCTGAAACGGAAGAGGGTAATTTAAATCATATTATTTAATATACATATATGCCTATTGTGTGTATATTTTATTATAAGTACCCATATCACATCTCTTGACTGCCACATTGGTTTTGTAGTCGTAACGAAATTGTTAAGCATGACGTCTGCGGGGTCAACTAATTCCCTCTTTTATTTGTCATTAGCAATTAGGATAACAAAATGTCATAAACTAGAAGAAGTGAACTTTTAGTTCTGGCAAATAATTCATAACATGTTCATTCCAGTTAGTTATTAAAATAGAATTCATTATAACTAAGCAAATGATTTCTCTAATAAAATTTTTTACTTTGCAGAGTCGCATTAATATAAAAGCTCACTATTGTAACAGACATGTCCTTTTGGATATCAAAAAATAGTAATGACGCTGAGAGTTCATTGCAAGAGAATTCAAAAAAGCCATATACTAAAATTGATCTGATTGGTAAGCTGCACATTATTCACGCTTTAGACAATGGCCAACCAAAAGCTGATATCGCTAGGGATTATGGGGTCCATCCTCAAACAATAACATATATATACAAGCAAAAAGAAGCACTAATTAGAAAATATTCACAAAAGTATAACCTTCTTAAGGAAGTTCGGTGCATTAACCTCAACCAGACATTATTAGATTGGGTTGCAAGTGAACTTAAAAGTGGAAAAATTATTAAAGAAGTCCAACTGCGCGTAAAAGCTGAAGAAATAATAAATACTATGAGTGAAGACTTCAATTGTGTAGATGATTGGTTACTAGATTTTCGGAGAAGAAATAATATATTGAAATTTACTTCCGAAATTGTATGTAGTGATGTAGCGAAAGATGAATGGCATACATTTGTTAATGATTTAGATGCCAGTAACTTGTACATTGGTGGTGTTTTTGGGTTATATCACTCATTGGATTTTGATAAATATATAAGTAAACAAAAAGCAGATAAACATGTATATGTATTTTTCATAGTTAATTGTCTTGGAGCTGACAAAAAGGAATTAGTTGTGATCGGAGATGAGTTACTTGAGTGCAGTAATATTAAAAGCTTACCTGTACAATATATTTACAGTCAAAATTTGAACTTAAGTAATATTATAATTCGGAACTGCTTAAACAAATGGAATAATGATTTGAAAACACAAAATCGTAAAGTATCTTTAGTAATGGATGTTTCAGAAAAACTGTTAAACGATATCAGTTATGAAAATATTGAAATAAAAAGGCTTATAAATATGGAGTTTATTACAAAAAACATTCAAATGATTGAAAAATGTTTTAAATTTCATTACAGAAGAATCCAAATGACTAAAAAAATACTCTATAACAAAGATTCGAGTGTGTTGTCATCAGTAGATTATACACATATAATAAGTGTAGCATGGCACAGTGTGTCAAATGAATATATACAAAGACTTTTTTTCCCGCTTGAGAATGATAGCCTTTACTTTAACTCCTGTGATGCTAATGATTCCAACCAAAGTTTGTTACAGTGGTGTAAATTGCATAATATACCTTGTGATCTTGTAATGTATTCCGATGACTTGGACAATTTTATTCAGTGTGATAAAAATCTCCCAATAATGTGTACAAATGTAACAAATGATTTAAATCTTAATGTAAACGATACTCTCTTAGGAAATGATGTTGTACCTTCATCAGGTGTACAAGCTTATCAAGCTATAAAAAGACTCATTACTTATTTACAAAGCCAAAATGCAAAAAAATCTGTTGTAAATAGTGCAAAGATCTTAGAAGATCATTTAGAATATGGAGCACTTCAAGAAATTCAACAAGTAATGGCAACAAATAACATACCTGAATAATAGTAATAATCATGTATTTCTATCTATGAAATTAAATTGTTACTATTGGGAGAAATAGTCTAGTTGTGAATTTCTTGCCAATTTTTCTCGCATGGTCTCCCGCAATAGTCTTGTGGAGGCGAAGACGAAGTTTTGTTGACTTTATAAAAGTGCTTTGCAATGTTCAATTTTGTATAAAAATATTTTGATTTTGATTATTTCTAAGCCTGGCCAGGAAAATAAAACATTTGCTACCCATAAGCTGATATTCATAGAACTGATTTCGTGGGCTGCATTCTTTTACATGAGCTAAGTATGTGTAATAATTAAAAAAATTTAGATTCCAATCAAACCCAAGTAAAGTGAATTGCCTTTAAATAAATAATATTAAAAATTAGAGTATTCATAATTGCTTATTTTACTCTAAGAATTAAAGTGATATCAAAGTATGGCTCCCAGAAAATAACATGTTACAAAATAAATATGCAAAATTCAGAATACTTGTGCGTTCTAGACATAAATTCTTTTTTTGTAAGCAATACCATCAGAAGCTATTTGTTATGTTATAGTAGTATCACAGTTTAAAGAGCTAACAGTTGTGAAATATACCTAATAAAACGTAAGCTCTCTATTGTGTTATTTAATTTACTAAATTTGACATACACAATGAAATATGATTTGTACTTCAGATTACGTATATCCTATACCTTTAAACGAGCAATTCTTGAAAAAATATATATATATATATATATATATATATATGTATATATACATATACATATTCGGAATCTCGGAAACGGCTCCAACGATTTTCATAAAATTTTGTGTGCAGGGAGTTTCGGGGGCAATAAAACGATCTAGCTAGGATTTATTTTTAGAAAATGTCTTTTTATTCGTGTTTTTAAGGAATGAAAAACTGCTACAATATCGTTAGAATAAGAAGGTATATTTTGACAGTTTATTAATGATTACAAATAGCTTAATTGGTATATTGGGCGGTCACAAAATCGTAATACCATGGTTCGAGCCCAGACCGAACGACTGACTTTTTTAATTTTTTTTTCAAGTTCCTTTCTTTTTTGAGAAAATCTAATTTTTCGAGCCCATTTGTTAGTATTTTTTAAAAACACGAAAATTTAAATTAAACTAATTGCACTCATGATTTTTTATTCAAATAACAAGTTCAGTTTTTCTATTATGTCGCTAAGATCAAAAAATATTATTCGTATTTCATCAGTTTGTAATTTGTATATAAATATTATAATTTCTAAAACACACGAATTAAAAAAAACCGAGCGAAAAATACCGAGCAAAGCTCGGTTAACCGGGTACTATAACATATAGAATCTTATCATTGGATCTGTAATTTGACGTTTTACAAGGTACTCTTTTGTAAAAAATTCCGGACTATAGAGGTCTTAGGCAGTAGGTACACTATAATCCGACAAACTCGATAGTTCCCTGCAAAAAGTTTGTCGGATTACCGGGGGTCCACTGCAATTGGAAATAAATCTACAGTGCCTCAAAAACATTACGCTATACAAGTAGATTTAACACATAAATAAAATATACTTTAAACCAGTAAAATTATGAAAGAATGAAATATGAAAATTACTCAATTCGTACGTTTCAATACAGTGGACGCTTTGAGTACTATTTTAACGAATGTTCGGAGATTTAGCCGAATATTCGACTGAATACGAATATTCAGTAAAAGTTGCCGAATACCGAATACAAAACGAATATTCGGCCCATCTCTATTAATTACGTTCTGTTTAAAAATTAAAATAAGTAATACGTTTTCACCGTACATTTGCATCTTAGTAGAGGGTATATTGATAAAATTATCAAGTGTAACACGAATGGAGCTATCAGGCCGAGTAATAAAAGATCGAGGAGAAATGCGCGCTACATCCTCCCCCTCCAAGTCACTATTCCGTCTTCGTTGTTACTTGGGGCTTCCTCTTATTTTCGCAGTGATTGCTTGCGATTCTCCACCATAAAGTGTTATCAAACTATTGTAGTATTTACCACGAATTCGACCTTCATTGTCTTCTACCTCATAGGTGGTAGCAGATAATACTCGCTTGATTTTAAATGGTCCTATACGGCGAGGTGCGAACTTCTTCGAAAACCCCTTGGAGGGTTGACTCTCGGCATTATTAGTGATCAGGACAAGGTCTCCTGCCTGATAAAGTTGAGATTCTCGCCTCCCATGATCAGCAACTTCTTTGCGAAGATCTTGCTGATGTTCTTTCATAAGCTCGCCTCTGAGGGATCGCGGGACTACAAGTTATGGTTCTTCAGTCTCACCATCTGGATCCACTCCAGTGAACTCCAGGGATGAACTACCACAAAGAATTTTTAGCGTCGGTGACGAAATACGATGTTCTGTAATGGTATAATTGCGCTCAGCTGCAGTCAACAACCTACTAGCGTACTCGATCGGGCGTTCGTCTTTGGCTTTTTCACCTTGCATTAACACAGCACCCAATGCATAGGCGCTAGCGTCGGTACGAATAACGAATGGAACTTTAAAATCCAGCTGACGAAGATTAGGGGCAGAAGTGAGTTTATCTTTGAGAGTAGCAAACGACTGTGTCTGTTCTTCACCCCATATCCACTTTTCGTACTTTTTTGTAAGACACGTTAACGGTCTAGCTATGTCGGAAAATTGGGGATGAACTTCCGGAACCAACTACACGTTTGAAGGAAGCCACGTAATTCTTTCAAATTAGAAGAAGATCTCATGTTTACTATAGCTGCGACCTTCTCAGGATCCGTTTGGATTCCTTGAGATGAAATCACATGACCTGGGTATGTTACTATGTCCCAAGCAAACATACATTTATCACGGTTGGCTTTCAAGCCAAACACTCTGAGTCTGTCGAAGACTTTTCTTAGATCCCGTACATGAGATGCAACATCATCAGAAACAACAAGCAAATCGTCGAGATACCAATTCATCGATAAGCGGGAGTGAGTACCTATTTATCTGTGTCTCTGTATCACAAAATCGTGTTTCTTCATTTTTCTTGGACACACGACTGGTGAAGTCCATTCAGATTCTGCTTCTTCAATAATCTTTTGTTCTAGCATCTTATCCAGTTCTGCGCGTACTATTTCCTTTTTCGCAGGAGTCAATCGATAAGGGGGCACTGCAATAGGTGCATTATCTCCCGTGTTAATACGATGTAACTCAAATGTAGTGGCTTCTCCCCCTGGAGTGAACATATCTTTATTTTCTATTAACATAGAAGAAATTATTTCACGTTCAGAATCGTTAAGCATTGTGCCTTCGTTACCGCGAAGAGCTATTGACGAACACGCTAGAGACTTATCATCATTTTCGAAAACTAACGGGAAATATGTGCCTGTTACATCTCTTAATGAAAATGTATTTAAGTTTAGATCGGTAACCATTCATGAATCTTTAATAAAATTCATGCCAAGTAATGTCGGTAATAAAACGAAAGTCGTGGAGACAACAATTCCACAAATACCAACATTTACAGTAGCAATTTCTACATTTCTATTACAAACTGAACCATCAGCTAATTTAATTTGAAGTTCAGAGTTAATCAACCTATGATTATTACTAACTAATACATTTCTTAAGCTATCACTCGCCATTGACAATTTTGCACCGGTATCTATTATAACGCATCCACTAGCATTATATACACTTACATTTATCATTGGTCGAGCATAAGGTTCTGTAAGTTTTGTATGTAAAGCAGCCACTGATTGGAAAGAAACAGAATTTGTCACTACCGAAAAACCACTGTCTTTCTTACAATTGCCACAGTTCGAACGTAGGCACCACGCCTGGTGCACCACATACAAAACAAACAATTGAAGTATCTTTAGCATCTGCTTCATTATTTTGTTGACCCATTTTAACTTGAAGTTTTTGTCATGTTTCCTTATCACGACTATATTTCTTACAGTATGCACAGTGAGGTCTAAACTTATTATTCTCACTATAACGTGTTGCAACAGACGCATTTAGTCGCGCCTGATTATTATTAGAGGTAGATGAAAATACAGCTAATGATCTATTAGAGGAAATTTTCTGACGCACATGTGGTTTCATTCGTCCTTCCTCAAAAAGGTCCTCTACAGCACGTGCTTTCTCAAGTAACTCTAAAAGTGTCATAAAGGAGGATATGACTACTTTTTCACGTATTCTCCTATGCAGCAGTCTATAAACCATGTCTAACTGTTCAGGATTCTCAGCTAACGTTCCTGGTGGTAATTGTGCTAGCAAGGCTCTTGCTTTACAAACAGATAAATCCGTGCTTTCATCTCCTAGCTTCTTATACTAAACAGTTTTTTTATATATTTTATGTAGTGGAAGACGGGGACTATAAGTCTGTTTTAACAACTGCATTGCTTCCGTCTAGGTTAATACTGATTGTTTCACTCCAATTCAGTTAATAACATGGGCAATCACCGAAGAGCGATAATCTCTTCCATAGCCACACATTCTTTATATACCTCGATAGCTCCTATAAAAGCTACAACATCTGCATCCTTAGAAGCATCAAATCTAGCTGTACATCTAGCAAAATTACTATTGCTATTCATGTTGTATGATGGGTGAACCATTGATAGAATTTGAGATAGTTGATAATCTGTCATGTTGGTCCAGGAGTGACATTAGGTTGCATAGCTACTGTATCTGACTGAAAATGGGTTGACACTGGTTGATTAGTTGATGTCCTACTAGCGTCATTCATTTGTGTGAAACTGCCTAGAGACGCCAGCTGTGATGTTATTGCATCACGCACCTGAGGAGACACCGGGTGGTTCATCAAAATCTGTGGGCTACCATGATTCTGGACAGCAGTAGAAATTGTTGAAGCCATAATTGAGTTCTGATCAGAACTAATAGTACAAGATCTAGATAGAATCATATTTCATATATATGTATATAGCTCAACAACTAGTAATTATTTATTGACCAACAATACACATAAAATTAATTTTTAGTTATAACAAGTATTAATTCATACAATACTTACAATAATTTTTAATTAAATTAATCAATGAGCATCACATCACTACTCAACCATTCCAGCAATTTATTAAGTTTACTTTTGAAATAATACTATTTACAAAATAGTAATATTTAAATGGGGATATTGTTTTATTTTAAAATGGGAAGACAAATTTAATTATTTGCTTAATATTTACATCAGTATCATTCAAATTAAAATGAAGGAATTCTTTTCTTAATATTCACCACAATATTGTAATAATAAAATTAAAAGAAATTTTTTGTTATTAGATGTTATTATCCTTGTAAAAATATACTCACTAAATTATTTTGACATTTTAGCATCAACTTGAACTCAACATACAAGTATTGTCATAGTATAAACAGAAGCATTATGAGCAGTCATATTATCAATAACAGTTATTAAGTAGGTACTAATTGGTACACAAACAATATAATTAATATTATTATATGTAGGTTTCTGTTTATTAAATTACAATTAATAATATGTAAACATTTATATTGATAAAATTGAATTGTTTCTTTATTTTACAAGGTGTTGGTGATGGGCCTGTAATTGGACGGGTCTGAGCGGTCGCCTTTTTTAGGGATCAGGTGGATGAAAGCCGTCTTCTATGATTTTGAGACTACGCCTAGGGAGTAGGAGTACCAAAAAGACGTTTAAGTGTAAGAAGAGTGTATAAGTCCCGGGACGTTGATGCGTCAGCCCAGGCTTGGTAGCACTCCTGCTTGTAGCATGATGCTATTTTACAGGAGCGACCAAACCATGGCTGAGATTTGCCTCCGATGGGCACCAGAGAGGTAAGAATATAAAGTTCCATACCCTGAAGTACCACATCAGCGACAGAATCCGCACCACGTTGGGCTCGTCCGGCGAGAAGCAAACCCGCCCCCAAGGGTAGGATGCTAAGAAAGACCGCATCCTATCCCAATCGGCTGACCTATAGTGCCAAACACGGCGGCAGCCTGCAGAATGTAACTGCGATTTCAGCGTGAGTGGCACCACACTCCGGACAAGACAATGGTCCAAAGAGCCTAAAGGGGCGTCGTCGGAAAACTTATATTCGTCCGGGTGAGAAGTCAGCAGAAGGTCCAACAGGGAAGGTGCATGATCCTCCACATCTGGAATTCGCGTAGGCGAAGTAACCAGTTGTGTTAATCTCCCCGCGTGATCGGTAAATCGTGAACCAAGCCATTCGGCGTGATGGGCGTTAAAATCGACGAGGATCACGATCTCTGCTGAGGGGATCTGCTGTAGCAAACGAATCTGTAGCCATTTAGACGTGGTCGAAGAGTCGGTCTGTTTCGGCATTACCGCTATGGGATCTATAGAGGCACCCGTAGACGCGCGGATGGCCGTCGCTATCTACGCGTAGCCCAAGGATGGACTGGTCCCAACCTTCAAGACTGCCGAGGCGTCGAGAACAGATGTCCTCTCTGACGTAAACGCAAACTCCATTACAAATTCATTGTTGCTTAACTAAGCGTTTGGTCTTCAATGTTATAGATTTTTTTATGTAAAAAGTTTTAATCACGAATCTTGGGCCATGCGAATTTCTGTTTATTTTTAATTCAAAGTGGCTGCTCCATATTTTAACCTCTATTCATATGTATTAGGGAAGAACTTTTTAAGATAAAAGTCTCGATTCTTTATTTGTTATATAAAATTTTACTCTTATAAAAGACCTATATAGAAATATAGAGTGAGTGAGTGATCAGTTAAATTATATTTATTAATTCATATCAATCATGAAAGTATTACCTAAATACACAAAAAACAAAGATGTACTTTTATCAATTCATGTTCAGTATCATGGCTAGCTTTTTGACCGCTTGTGTCGCATTAATGCGACACATGTTTACGTGCCCCTACCGCTCGTGTCACATTTCTGCGACAGAGAACATGCATGATTTTTACGTTCTATTTTCGTCCTATTAACTGCGTGGTACAACTAAAACCATTATTAAATAGAGATTATTTACAACAATTTCTTAGAACCTACTTTGGGCCAATACAACTTTCAAGTTAATAGACGTTAAAAATTTACTTAAAGATGGTTTAACTCAAATCACGCAAGATAAATGGAAAAACTGTGTTCAGCAAGTCTTTAAGGTTGAACAAAAAATGCGTGGCATGGATGATAGAATTGACCAAACTGCAGATCGCTTTATAATTAATGTTACAGACAGTTCATCTGAATACACATCAAGTGAAGATACGAGTGATGATTGCACCGAATAAAAATAAAGTTCTTATATAATATTAAAAATAAAGTTTTATCTTTTGAATAAGTACGTACCTACTTATTCGGTGTCGTTATCACTCGAATCTTTATATGTGTTATAAATGAATGCTTTTTGTTGTTAAATGAATAAAGTACTTTATAACAATAGATGATTTTTCTTCTACAGCGATCTTTTACATAACTTTTTAATAATAGTTAATAAATATATATTATATCAATCATCATAAAAAAATTATAAAAAAATCATTATAAATAAAGAAAGTACTACATATAAACTGTGCCTATATATTGACGGGTTTGTAACCCCTGATTAAACGACCGAAAGGTCATTGTCCGTTTTTCTCAATCGATTTGGCACATACTATAGCGCGGCTGTCGTATTAATACGACCATTGCCTACGTCACAAACGGATCAAACGATCCGAAATTTCCATTAACTATTGTTCACATTTTTTAGAATATTTCTTATTTTTATTATTATTTATATTTTTTTAATATTTTAGAATATATAATTTTAGAAACTTTTTTATTTTAATGGTGACCACGCTCTCACCGAATACCAGCGTGAAACAGCATTTTAATGCCGCTGTGTTTCGTATGGTGGGAGTAGAGAACCGGAGATCCATTTTACTATAAACGAGACATTCCATCTTAGTCCTCAAGGGTGACAACGTATCTGTATTTTGATTCTTAATTGAGGATAAATGTATATGTTTACATAGTATCCACTTACCATCAGGTGGGCTGTGTGCTCATTAGTCACCCTATATATTTTATCGATTTGTAGTCGCGCGCTAGGGGCATTTAGCCAAGCCAAATGCTAAGGTTAAAGAACACGACCCGTTATTATATAGTACGGTGTTCCAAAATACTATATTTCAAAATATATATTGCTCAAAATAATAATTAACTATTGAGAAATAAAAATGAAAGGTTTTTCTCTGGACCGATTTTATTATGAGGAAAGTAGTTGTTAATAGCATAAGTAGGTACTTATTAATAAATTGTATAAGATCCTTTAAAGGCTTGTTTTACTGGCTTAGCAAAAATACCTGATAATATCAAAAAATAAGCAGTATTTAGGTAGTTGTTAGTTAGATACTCGACCGGTAGACTAAACGCTCGCAAATATCGATATTATAACGGAACATCCC